CCATTTCAGACATCATAAACATAGGATGCCAATGTTACTGTAAGCAGATATAGACCAACATCGACTAGATTAATCAAATAGCCTTTTCCCTTCCTAATTTGAGGTGAGATTATATTTCACCCTTGATCTTCATTTAAAACTTGAATGCACTGTTCATTTTTAGAGCCCTGTAGGTAGCATCATGTAACAGTGGCATAACACCAGCAGTCAATAAACCTCAGCCTAGTCTGCGTGACCTTCAAGATCTTGAAACTATCATGAAAGCGGCAGTATTTGTCAACCATGGAATTCAGGGGTATGCCATTTCATGAAATTAACTGGGTAACAAGGCCTTGAAAGTCTATGCTTATAATTAAGCAATAACTATTATGGGTCAGGTCACTTCCTAGGGATTAATGATCAGCTGCAAGAGTAGAGAGTTCAAGTCAACACTCTTGGGCTATTAAGCCAAACAGTCATTCATTTTTCTGAACATGCTGAGATTTTATCATTCTTATGATACTCCTTCTAAATATGTGTCCAATATTCCGCCCCCATTTAAAAAAGTTTACAATTACATGAGACTATCTGTGAATAGAGAATGCTGTGATTATTGGAGGAAAATTAATTGCTGTTAAGATAGCTAGCAAAAGGAGCAAACTGTTTTCTCTGCTAAATAAAAAACGTACATTTTTATGCAAAACCAAAGAATACTTTTCCTCTCCCCCTAAAGAAATGGATAAATAGTCAGATTATCCCATCTAATCAAGAGCCAGATTAAAACTGAATGACATTAGTATTAAACTACCTTTAATATCTAGCAGTCTGCCACTGACTGCTCATTTTGAGGAGGGTAAATTAATCAACAGCAAGAAACAACAGATGTCTTTATTCTATCTACTGCATATGTAATTTTCTCAGCTGTCTGGTTTTCCCCCCATCTGAAGTGTCTGACTTAAGAGTCATTAACATTTAAAACCACTATGTAAATGAAGTTCACCTTAGGTAAGCTTCCCATGCAGTTCAGGGGATATTGTGATAAATTATTGGGTTTAATTGGTTATTGGGGAAAACATTAGATTATCCTCAGTTGGAAGAGCAGATCCTCTCACTAACTGGCACTAACAAACTTCACATGCTTACAAATTTAAGGCGGACTGTCTATTTCTTCTTGCTTACGGACATGCAGTGCAAGTACTCGCCTACCCTGAAACACATTTTTTACCACCATCCCAACATTGGGAATGAAGGAATTTGATGCTAAAATATACTGAGGAGGTAGTTTATTTTGTCAACAAGCCAGAATAAAGACTATCTACACACCAGCAGATCTCTAGTTATTCATGACCATTAGATACACACAGCAGGAGACCAAAGTACAACACTCTCTCTACTCCAGTGGCCCCGACCTCCAAACAGTAAAAGGGAGGTCACGTGTTTTACAGAAGACGGATGCTGATGCAGCCATTCACAAAGAGACCCCATCTTCAGTTAGCCTTCAGGCTGGCTGATTAGCTGGCAAACTCCTCTGAAAGGGTCAGTTTGTACAAAACTGGTATTTCCACTTTGGAAACTGCTCAGGCATGTCATATACCTGTATTTCAACGAATAGAGCTCTTTCAGAGTTTAGACTGAAATCACTGTTAATGCTGGAGACCGGACCACCAGGAGGTTTCAGAGTCAATTGCAGTGGCTTCAACTAAAACTGTTGCCTCACAATCGTAAGACTTCGGGGGATGCGACACAGCAAGCAGCCCACCTTGCTGCATATATTGACACAACAGGAACGGACAGTGTGTGATTAAAACCAAGTCACTTAAAGTAGATCTGGAAACAAAGCACCATTTACAAAAAAAGAAATGCAACTGCACTCTTTTCAAGGGCTAAAAACTACTTTCTCTACTGACCTGAATATCTGTTTCCTGCACTTTCAAGATTAAACAATTTGTTAGCGCAATAATATGACTCTTAAAATATTCACCTAGGAACCACCTAAGTTATTTGTGTCACTTTCTTAAAGAAAGAAAACAGCCAGCACTCCTCAGCAGCTATTAATTCTGTAACTGGAAACACACATGCATGTGTATGCCTAATTCTAGCAGAGATCTGGGACAGCATAAATTGCATGGGGCGGAAGGCTAGAACAGCACCCTGACAAATGTTTACTTTCTCCTAGAAAGTCTAGAACTAAAAACCAGAAAACAGGAAGTTGTCCCAGGAGGTGGGGGAAACTAGGAAAGTGTCCAAGCCTGCATTAGGTGAGCTTCATGCCTACTGAACAGCCAACGTTGATCTAAACACCACTGAAGGCTCAGCAACAGCAGCTGTTTGCCTGCCTGGACAGCAACACACACCAACCTTTTGGCAGGTGATTCCATTAGATTGACTGGAGCAACCGGAAAAGAAATGATGTGTATAGAGAAAAGGGGGGGGGGAGCAAGGATTGGCGGGTATTTTTGTTACCTGTGTGGGGGAAACAATGGCAGGTGAGATTACTGTGGGAGAGTTGGTGCTTCTGTGCCCATTGGCTTCAGGGAGGAGGAGAGGCAAGGGATCGTGTTTCACTGAGACAACCACCACAGAGGCGGCGGCGGCGGCGTCCAAAGGCTCGGCGGGCCTCAGGCAGAGTCTTTTGGGGGACGAGGACCTGCCGTTGAGGGCGTAGCCGCCTCCCCCGGCAGGGGCGCCGGGGGCCAGCTTGGTGCCGATGCCGGCGATGCTGTTGAGGGTGGCGATGGAGACGGCGCCTATGCAGTGGTTGGTGTAGGTCTTGGAGAGCTTGGCGGCCTTGGAGAGCATCTGCATGCGGGTGCCCAGCAGGTTCTTGCCGATGGCCTTGTTCTCGTACCAGGTGACGTCGCCCTCGCTGCAGTGGTCCCGCGGGCGCTGGAAGAAGGCCTTGCAGAGCGGGTTGCGCTTGGCCAGGTACTTGACGAAGCTGGCGTAGGGGCAGAACTCGGTGCCCGTCTCGTACATGCGCGGCAGGTTCTCCTCGTCGCTGCTCTCGGCGCGCTTTTTGCTCCACGACGAGGAGCGGGACTTGTGGTAGGGCCCCAGGGCCTTGAAGTAGACGAACTTGCGCCCGTCCTCGTCCATGGCCAGCCCGAAGGAGTCCTCCTCCAGCTCGCGCTGGTTCTCCCGGCCCCGCGTGCAGAAGTACATGCACGTCTCGAACCAGACCTTGTTGAGGAGGCCGAAGGGGCTCTGCGTGCTGAACACGCTGCAGGTGTAGAGCTTCCGCAGGTCGGCGCGCGTGATGGCCTGCTTCTGCACCACCGGCCCGGCGCCCTGCTCCTCCAGCTTGCGGATGACGGCGGCCAGCGTGAGGTTGGCGGCGCGCAGCTCCGGGTCCTTGGTGAGGTCGAGGGTGCGGCAGTAGGGCGGCTCGTTGAGGTAGCGGTTGAGGGAGCTGCGGATGCTGATGAGCGAGGACTTGGAGTAGAGCTGGCCGCTCTTGGAGCGCGCCTCGGCGTAGAAGGAGCGCAGCACCCGGCACAGCGCCCCCTTGTCCATGCTCTCGAAGTCCGGGCTGTGCGCCTTCTCGCTCAGGTACTCGCGGAAGATGCGCACCGCGTAGCGAGTGGCCAGGCGGGTGTTCTCGCTCAGCCGGGCCCGCTCGGGGCGCTGCAGCGACAGCTCCGCCTCCGGGTCCGAGTCCTCGGCGGCCAGGGGCGCCACATTGCCCGCGACGGAGGCGGGAGCGCCACGGGCGCTAACGGGGACCGAAGGGGCGCCCCCCGCGGAAGCCCCGACGCCTCTGCGGCCGCCCGTGCCGCCGCCCCTGACGACCGCGAAGCGGCCCCTGACGCTGCAGACGGCAGCCGAGGGAGAGTCCAGCAGCGCTCCGGTGCCCCGGTCCATACGGATCATATGGCCCGCCCGTTCGTCGGCGTCCCACTCCAGCCCCATCATCATCTCCTCCTCCTCTTCCTCCTCATCGTCCAGGAGCAGGATCCCCCCATCAGCTGCCTCCTCGTCCCCCGTTATCTGCACCTCCTGGATCTCATCCTCGTCCTCCCCGTCCTCGTCCTCCCCGGCGCTGCAATAGTGGAGGGGCCGGTGGGGGCCACCCCGGCCGCTCTGCCGGTCCCCCGCATTGTTCTCGCCGCCGCCACCTGCACCACCTCCGCCGCCGCCGCTTCCTGCGCCGCTGCCGCCGCCCCCGGTGCTCCACTCTCCTCCGCCGCTGCCAGGCATTCTCGCCATATTGCCGTCTCCCTGCCAGTCCTCGGGCAGGGCGCATGCGCTATATTGGACCGCAGCGCTGGAGAGCTTTTGTGTTTAATGACCTTCAGCTACCGGGAGGCAAAGCTGGGCTCTTAAAGGGGCCGCGCTCCCAGTGGCGGTGGCTGCTGTGCGATGAATAGGGCGGGCGGGGGAGATACGGAACCGCAGACAGGCACGGCGGCATGGAAGACTTCCCCTCCCCAAACGAGGACTACATACAAGGCTAACGCAATGCAAAGGGTTAGTTTATATTGGCCCGCAGAAAGGGCGGCTGAGCGTGAGATTCACTTCACGGCAGATTCACTTACCCAGCCCCAGTGTGGTGCCAGCTGCCGTCCGCTAAGTGATGCCCGAAGAGCTGCCCTCCAGCCCCCCATCTCTCATTGCTCACGGGAGGAAGGAAAGGGAGAGTCTGCCTCCTTGCCGGTGGTGGCGACTGAAGGAAAGGGGGTGAGGAGGGGGACGGGGACCGGGGGGGGGGGCAGCCGCTGTAACAGCAGCAGTAGGTGAGATCCACCGGGAGACCGAGGGGGCAGGCGGCTTATCGCGCAAGGCAGCTCCTCCCCACTGACTTCTGGCAGCCGAACGCGGAAAGGCGGCATCGCGGTCCCCACTCGGCAGTTGGCACGGCGCTCAGTTCGCTCCGGCAGGAGAGAAACTTCTCGGATCGTCAGCACTTTTGAGTGACTCGCTCGCTCCCCCCTCCCTTGTCTCTTACTACCCGGCCATCCCACCTACCAACCCCCTCTCCCTAAAAAAAAGAAAGAAAGAAAGAAGCCACACTGGTTGCATACCAGGCGCGTCGATTGCACTCCTCCTCGGCTTCACGGTAAAGGCATCGAGCCGAGCAGCCTTCGGGGAGGCAGACGCGTTGGGATGCGGCTGGAAGCGAGAGGCGGCGGGTCTGGCGAGACTGCAAGCCGACTCCTCCGAAAGGGGGACCGAGGAGGGGATGAAAAGCGGCGCCCCAAAGAGGTTCCCGTTGTCCTTGCTGCAGATTCGGAGCCTTGGAGTACTCCAGGCAGGCTGTGTACAAAAGAAGGAAGCCCGCTTGTTTCCTGTCTGGCGCTAATAAGCTGTAGGAAGCTAGCAGCGAGTAGCGTTGGAAGCCGCCAGGGCTAGTAAAACCCACACAGTCCGCAGCCAAGAGGCAAATCTAGAGCTATTCCTAGCCTGCGGGGACAAGCAGCTGCAACGCAGGCACACACACACTCACTCACACGGCACAGCCCCAGCCCTGCAGAGCATAGCCATCAACATTCTCTGCCTCTCTCTCTCTCTCTCTCATACACTCAGGCTCATTTACCCCCCCCCCCTTCTTTCC